CTCACTTCTAAATGAGGAAAGACTACCTGAGGCTTGGATCACAGTGATTCAGTCGTTAAGCAATACTAATTGGTGTGAATGCCTTCCAACTATCCTTATATTATGTTGGACATTTCGCTTGCTTTATACTACTATTTATGGTGTCAAAAGATGACATATCAATATTTTGTTCATCTACAGGTCACTTTACTAAAATTCCACGTCGAACCATGTGGCTTTTAAACGTTAATGGCATTATTAATCTGCAAATAATTACACATCTCAAAAAATGTTCACGATAACTGAATTAATGGATGAATATACCCAAAAATTAGAAGAATGAATTTATATTCATGAAGTTGATAATGCATACTCAGTAGTGAAATTGTATTCAAACTCACTTGATTTGAATCTGAATTAACTGCGTTTTCTACTGAATTCTCTGGATGCTGAGGGGCTGCGGAAGTTGAAACAGCTGGAGCTTGTTGAGCAGTGGCATTCTGGATGTTGGCTTGTGCTGGTTGTATTATTCCAGCCTGTGGCTTCAATGTGGCTAAAGCTTCACGTGCAGCTGTAACTTCCTTTGTTAACCTGAAATGCAGATTTTATTCAAGTTAAAAACGTCTCACTGTAGGGTAGTCAGAGCGAATGAAAAGTAGAAATTTACCAGCAAAAAGTGTAAACTAATTTTATAGCTCGAAAGTTACTTTATAAAAGTATTGTACCATCTCGTCATCTGTTTCGGTATGCAGAATTGACAAATGAAAGGCAACCAGGACATATCAGTATAATCACCGAGAAATGTAGATCAAGGTAATTAAAAGCATCTACATACAACTATCAAAGTCTCGGTACACAGAGAAATTTTTTAAATTTCCTGGGAAGACAACCACGGTCGAGAATTTCGGTTTTTTTTAAAAACTAAAGTTGTTACACACTAGCATAATGGAAGCAAATTAAACGAAAACATAACGTGACAGTCGCCATATAACATAAGTCCGAAAGAGCATACGACACTACGAACAAATGTTGAGATGGGAAGTAGCATTATGATGTATGCTGCCTAAAAGTTACGTAAGGCAAACAGCTACAAAACTAATCAACTTATGTTCAACCGACTAATGTCTTTAAGAAAAAGACTAAACTGTTGAATATATATAAAAAACCGAAAATAAGTGATTGAAACTAGATATACCGCATATAGAAAGCAAATACAATCCTCACAAATTAAACTGAATGGAACTTTAGCCAAATTATTGATGACCGATAAATTACAGCAAGGGTTCAAACATGTGCACATCAGTTCTTACTTCATTCACAGTAACCTCATTTTACGCAATAAACAATCCGTTTTATATCACTGATCTTTTACTATACTCCTTAATTGTCTATATCACGTCATACCAAGCAAAGCTTGAAATAGGGAATAACGATTCTGAAACAGTAGCAGCTTCATAACACATGGTATAGGTGCAAATGACATCTTCATGTACTTCAATTTAATTTCATACTTTATGTAGCCGTACAGGAAATAATACTAATCTATAAAATACCCGGCGGTAGGAAGACGCTGTGGAGAAGTGGGACCTAACAGTATATAAAGAACTGGGTTTTAAAAACCTGGATGAATAGCAAGGATTTCAGATATTCATCACCCTCTTCATCCTTTGTTTCTAATTAGGACCACGTTGATGATTTGATTTATCTCACCTTTTGGTGTTGTTAAGCAATAAATGCACCTTGGAGACGTCACTAAGAGATGATACTGTTAGGATAGGGATTGCAGCTTGATCATAACTTACTTAGATTCTAAATCATGTGTTACCATCTAGACACAGCAGAATGTTTTAGACTCCACTCAGGGTGTCAGGATGTACACAGGAACGCTAACCACACACATCAATCTTGCGTTCCACAGAGCCATGTCACTCGCCGACAACACGTTTTCCATCCAAACGAAGAGCTGGAAAGAGTGGATGGTAGGGAAACTGCTGGTTACTTTTGTAGCACACATCTAAGCCACCGGGGACGGCATTGCGAAATGAAATCACGTCCAAATACACAGGCGACAGCAGACGCAAGTGATTTTACGAGAACAGTGATGGTCTGACCTCATGATATCGTACATTCTGAGCTTAGGCCATGTTTCACAAGCGTAGAGCGAAACTGTTTACTGAAGTACAGGAGGCCAAAACTTTGCTGGTCAGCAACTATTTAAACGAAGACGTCAACAGTTGCATTTCCGCATCACAGTACAAACCATATGTGTAAACAGTGAACACTGACTTGTGGAAGATTACTGAGGCAGTTTACATTACCAAAGAATACGGTAATATTATCTGTACGTGGTTGAAATTCTTTACAGGAAGCACACATACACCATCATGAACATATTTCAGAGTTGTCTTTTGAACGTCATCAGTGGTAAATTTAAATAGAAATGAAGAGATTAGACTTCTTTTTTTAAATCACTGATGCTTAAAAAGAGTGACCTATAAAAACTCAACATACTTCAGATAAGGTATTTTTATTATATTGATACACTTAGTGACACACCTAACAGATAGTCCTTCTTAGCTGATCGAAGGTAGCCCTGCCAATTTGATATTCAGTCGCAGTAGCAGGGACACATAATTTTCTTGGGTCAGTCTGCGCTCACAATCAAAGGTGTAAGAGAAATCTAGCACAATAAAGTTGGTCGGAAGAATCCAATATACATAAGGTAGAATTAAGTACATGTTAAAATAAACCCATCTTTTGAGGAAGGTAGGACAGCAAACTACATGAATTTGATATTCAAGCTACAATTTGCAATTAGTGAAGATCAAAAAAGTAAACAGACGCAGTGGATTTAGATGTCTTTAAGTGCTACCAGAAATAGATGTCATGTTTACACTTAACAATTAATGTTTACAGAGAGGTTATACTACAGAACTTTATAACAACCATTTTGTACAGACTTACACATTGAAAACATATACAAGGTACACTTTTTTACAACATACACATTTGAAATTATTTGTCTGGAGGCGTAGAATCATAACTGGCTGAGTTTCAACACGGAAGAGCAGCAGTCCAAGTTATCACACGCTTACACAGAAAAAAAGAGGCATATAAACATAGCACCATACTTCATGAGCAGAAGTATTAGTTTTAACTGCGGCCTGACTCTAAGTCACATGTTAAGGTAGCACCCCAAACTTCGTTTGTATTACTGGGACCTATTCAGTAAATGCTACTGATACTATGGATAACTTACAAGGCTACTATTAACTGCAGCTATAGAAAGTCAAGCTAGATACAGAAAAAAAACAATCACAAGTAAAGACATCTTAGAAACAGTCAAAAACTACCATTCAGGAAACTCAGGTTTGAATTCAATCAGCCAAAGCTTTGAAAGTAGTTATTGGATAAAATTTTTAGGAACACAGATAGTTTAAAATCATTAGTAGACCTATATCACGTTAGCTGTTCTCAGTGCACGGACACAATCTCTGCTTCACTAGAATGAAGTACTCGAACCATGTAGTTGTCTGCAAACCATATTGAGAGATAGCTGCCGTTAAGAAAAGAATATAGCACCACATTCGATTCACTGCTGAAATAAAAGAGAAACTTTAAAGGCACTCAGTCACCGGCAACAGACATAACTCTAGTTCAAGACAAAAGTTTTCAATAACCATAACCGTTAAAGGAGTAAAATACCACATACTACATACGATAAAGCTTACCTAGCAATAACACGACAGGCAGCATCGTGCTGGTAGAGAGCATGCGATAACTCTTGTCTTGCTGTCTGTAACTGCTGTCGCAGTGTGAATGACTGTAACATAACTGCATCCCACTCATCCTAGCAGAAAGTAATTGATGAAATTATACAGAATACCTGAAGCGATTTTAAAATGGCAGGAATCGATGTAGCAGACGGAGGTTTCGGACGGACAAAAGCTGACGCCTTCACATCAATCAACTCTTCGACTGCCAAAGGTTGCTGATCAATAGGGTCAGTCCCATTTTCGGCAAGATACTTTTCAATCAGACGTCTTTCAAAAATGTAACCAGACCGTGGACTAACAACTGGGTGCTCGGGCACCTCATTGGATAAGGCGCACAAAAGAGACATTCTACAAGTTAAACGTCGATATTAGAAGCGGATTTTGACAAAGGAAAAAAAAGGAAGGGTAGTAGAAAAAAAATCTATATTATATCATTGTACATATTACAATCAGGAGATCTTGTCCATCGTAATTGGTTCTCCATAGAAGATAAAACCCTCAGTCGGTGACCAGAACATAAATCATTCTACCAAAGTTGAATTAAATTGTGAGAAACATACCCATAAAGATAGTAGAAGAAGGAGAGAACATAGAAAGCTAGCTTTACCATGCCCTCTTTCATGGCCCTGCTGAGCTCGCTTTGATTTATAATAGTTGTGGGGTCGTATAAACCAGGGCACGACATAACTGGACGGTTTTTATATCTAACAAATGATGAACCAACAGATTAACTAACCTGTAGATGTGATATGCCAGAAGTGGTATATTAAGAAGAAAAGTTCCTATTTGGGCTGTCAGCAGAAATAGCAGTGTATATGTTGCATGAAGCCCATATTCAGGGAGCACAAGCTAAGATATAAATAATATGTGATGATATAGGGTGTTACCGGGTTGAGTGATTTACATTGGTCAACAGGATTTTTGTAGTCAGTCCGTAATTCATCAAATGAGATAATCTGAGGCAATTATATTACTCAAGCAAATTAAATACCTGGAAGATGACGAAAAATATGAGGGCGATTGTAAAAACCAAAGCTAAAATGTAAGCAATTGCAACAAGGCCAAACCCCATCCTTCAGTGGATTGCCAAAAACACGCGCTAAGAAAGCTGTCGAGGTCGAAGTAATTTTAGAAGTATTTTAAACAAACATTTTTAAGAAAGTAGTATATGATCATTTTTTTCATTATACATCTCAATTTTATTAAATCAATCTGTGCGAATAAGATGTTGTTTGCTCTTCAAACAGCGGACGAAATGAATATAGCGATACATGAGCCATCCTAAGCTTGATTACCTGAGACAGTTTGTTAAACCAAATGACCCAAAGGAGGAATATAAAATATTAGCTCCAATTGGTAGTGGGACATATGGCGATGTTTTCAAGGTTAGAATAGCAGTGAAAATGTGTCACTGCTCCTACTTATATACAGTAATTTTCCATGTATTCTATGTGATTAGGAAGTTTTTGCGAGTTTTTTTCACCTTTTTTTGTTCCAATCATTTGTTTCGTTGATGTGGCGCTGTTAGTCTCTTTCGGATTGATCACGCTAAACTTTACAATAACTATCACCATCTCAGCCACCGTGTGGCCAGCAGGTGGAGATTCCCTCTAGACAAGACAACGCCACGATCTTAACACACCGCCTACTGGTACCAAGTTACATCCGACCTGGCACTATTAACATCAGAGTCTACTAAAACTATGTCGGATTTAACTTGATCGAAGCTCACTGAAGACCAGGAACCATCACGGCACCATCTCAATGAAGTCTTTTGGGCTTATACTAGGTTGTGCAAAAGATGAACATGTGCAGGTATTCAGGCATGCGAAATAACTGGGCTGGAAATAAATTGTGTGGTAATCGTAATCCAAAGCAATTCGAAAATTTCACTTCAATCCAAGTCACGACCAATAGTCTACGAGCTCTTAAGAGTATTCATTCGAGTCCATTGTTTTAAAGCAATTAAGCATCGTTTAGTTAGGTCAAATTCCTTTTCGTCAGCATAAACTAAATTTATTTCTGTAATATAAAGACTAATATTGAGATTAGTGTTCTCTAAAGCAGTTGTTAACTTCAAAAAAGTACACTCATGTTCCATTTTGAGAATTATATCAATTTATAATTTGAGTTGTATAGAAAGCCAGTGTCCTCATATGTTTTTGACTCAAGTACCGTCGTATAGATTATACCATGACAATTATAAACCCTCCTTACACTACCTGCATCATATGGTAAAATGCTTCCTTAAAGTGGTAATTATACTATTATCTGTTGTCACTATGTAGAAGTATCTCAGAACAGTGACGTAGACTGGCGTGTTTGCCAACTCACTGCCTTATGAATTTGTAGGACATTTTCATATTGCAAAATATATTGGGTGCAGTTTTGCATAGGTATATAACACCCATCCTACAGTTTAGACACTTTGAAACACTTACAGTGGAACCGTTTATTACTTACTTTACTTTACTTCGGCTATCTCCTACGGGAGGATGAGCCGGCTTCATAAACAAGAGTTCATGAAGTTTCATGGGAATTAGGTACGAGTGATGTCCCCAGCATCGCTCGGCCTTTTGTTTGAGAGTGCAGCTCTAGCCTTTACACAACCAAGTGTGACCTACAAGGCAGTAGGAGTGGAGTAGGCAGTCCACTATCCATTGGCAGCCGGTGACCGGAGTTCAGTTCATACGTCTTTTTGAATGGGGCCAGACATCCAGGGCATCCAATAAGCCCTTTGTCCATACGTCTGCCGGTGAGCCTCATTATTCACTAAATCTGAATTTCCTGTAATACATTTTTTATAAGTCATATTGTTGGGTGGCTTGTAATTCCATTCCCTCTCGTGGTTGGGTTAACTAACACGGGATTCGAACCCGGGACCTACCAGGTAGACGTCCAGTGCTAAAGGCTTTGAGTTACATTTCAGACAGGGAACTCCTTTCTAAGTGTTGTATTCTCTACAGTATTCTTGTAACTTCACACTCTTAAGAGACTTCTGCGTATGCCACTTCTTTATCACAATTAAATTTAGTCAAGCAGGTCTGGTATCAGTGGGTCTGTCTTGTTTGGTATAGCTTAAGTTTCCAAGATAAGGCAAGTTTCATGATTTCAGTCTGAAACCATATGTAAATACTGACACAGGGTGAGGTGTCTAAGATAGTACCTGTCATACTCGCGAGAAGTACTAATATATTTTAAAGGAAGTCGTCGCAAATCCCTTGGTTAATACTGCACTAAGATGGAAGTATTTAAAAAGCATAAATAATGTTTTACAAATTATCACCCATATATGACTCTTCAGTTCAACATGTTCAAAATTACGATATCGGAATTTTGTGGAATATCCTTTGACTCTGTGTGTGTTATCTATTCCATGAACTTTTGCCCCTTAATGGTCATAAAAGTTGAATGTGAAACAATTCTTGTTTCTTTCAAAAACCAACACGTCAAGACGTTTTGTTTTGTATCAAAGACTTTCTAAACCTTTGGTGAATGCCGTGAAATGTCAGTTGTGTTTCACAGCAGTTTTCCAAATTAATTGATTCAGCCTTAATAGTGACTTGAATTTAGTGTTATTATCTTACTTTCAAATTAAATGACGCCAAGACGGGTTAAAAGATTGAGAGACAGTCCTTTATTTCAGAAAAAAAACAAGAGAAACATATATGGAGAAAATTATTGCAGAAAGTGCTCATTGGAAACGTATTTAGCCACTACGCCCTCTCTGTCTTTTCGTTCGTTGATATTTTATCGTTTGCTTAAAACATCCAAACCTTGTTTAATTATATGATTGATGCAATACCCTTGCAGAGAAATTTGATACTTAGAATGTTTTTAGAATACGTCATTTGCTTTCCAACCCCAACATTTTATTTCATGATTGATTCACATTACTCCAAGAGAATAATGTTGTAAAAAATGACGAAAGATCGTTCACTGCTCTTTATCCCTAATTGTTTACTTCTCGTCATATGCTGTAATTTTTTGCAATTTTAGTCAGTGATAATTCTTTGCGGGAATTGTAAGCACCCGTACATAATAATGATGAGCTAAACTTGATAAATACTATACTCCAGTCATTCTAATTTAGCATGAAATGGCCCACATTACGTTTAATTCTTGAGCACGCAGATAATACAGATAGTCTATTGTTCTCCCTAACCTTTCCTTCATTTCACTTAATAAGTCAAATAAACGACTGTAGTGTAATTTTTTTTGTAAATGAACATTAGGTCTTTTGAAATTGTTTTCCTCACTCGATTGATATATAACTACTGGATCTGCATCCGCTTTTATGATGAGTAGCAGAGCATAACATTTCTTGCAGTGTCAAATGCGTAAACGTATGCATTATTAACCTGTGACTCAGTTATTATTCATCGGCTCAAAGTATTATCTAGTGTTTAAAACATAGATTGCCACAACCATAGCATTCCACACACAAAACAGGTGCTGTTCGTATAAATCCTTTTATAAGTCTCATTTCAAAATAAGTCGTGTATTCATTGTATTGGCTGTCACTGATTGACCGATGAAAGCCCAGCTCTTCAAGTTTCTACACCCCAAAAAAGCAAACAAAAAAGAGAAACAAACGTAATAATGTTACGATAAACGAACATTGGATTAGATTGAATGCATTAAATGCATACTATTTCTTCAGCATTTCTTTCCACTGAAGTTAAATTATAGTGCCGGAGACATTTCAAAGGTCAATTGCGGTATGCTGCACTACAATCCTACCAGTTCTTTGCCTGTAAAACACTACCATTGACGGTGTATTTGAAAAGGTTCGAAGTACTTGTCTACTAGTCTTCATAAGGCTGCTCATACATAGAATGGATACGTAAATAAAGTGGGGACCAGGTGTAGTCTTAACTAAGATAACTAAGTTACTCAGTCAAATTATTGATTCTCTGAGCCTCCAATGATTTTATTATACACTACTCACCGTCACATCGATATATCATGTTAGCGGAACTAGGAATACGTTGGAAAAACTAAGGATAGACCAGGGAAAAACAATACCTTTCCATGAATTAATCATTGGCCCAAGCTGTTACTTGACTTACTGGTACTCAAATGTTCATAGTAAAACACTTTAGGTAGCTTAAAAGCGATCGAATTGATGCTTCGTTATCTTGCAGTAAATTATTGTCAATTTTCTTTTTAAGCATTTCATGATTTTCAATTACTGTATGTGAAAATGCTGAGTATGTATTTCTGGGCTACATGTTGGTAATGTCTATGCACTCAAATGACCTCCAGATATTTATAGTTGTTCAAGGAAACTGGACTAAATTGCCAATGAAGAGCTTTGTACGACAGTGAGACATTCCGATTTGTTACATTTCATCAAAGTATGCACAAAAGTACCAAGTAAAAAAAAATAAATGCAAAGAAACCATAATAAATAGAGAATGGATAATTATATTGAGAATGATGAGGACCTAATGAATCTGAAACATCTCAAAGAATGAATGTACTTCTGCTATTGACAACGATTTTGAGCTGTCACCAGCAGTTTCCATCTGATGGTTCTTAGTTACTCGAAAGCCTCCCTACGCGGCTCAAACTAACTAAGACTTCATGAACTAATTCGACGTTTTGGTTTGACCATCCCTAGCTCTTTTCCAGTCTAGTTCTCTGGCTTATATCTCTCGGTGTGAGATGAGCTGACTTGCCAAGAGTAACATGTGTCCTAGCCGTCTCGATTTGTGCAGATCCATTAACGTCTGCTCCTTACTGCTCAACATAATGTTCCACTTAACACGGTAGGTATAATCCAAACTACTGGTCGAATACAGCCAGCCTCTTGATATCTCCCACTGTTAATGGCCACATTTCACAGCCATAAAGAAAGGACAGAGCTAACTGCTGCTCAATACACTTGTTCTTCGATCGATAGCCGGATATCATGTCTTCGCCAAAAATGATGTAAGCTGGTTCCCAAAACTGGAAAAGACAGTATTGAAAGTAGACAAGCTTTTCCGCTCATGTTATTCAATTAAACTGATGTTAGTAATCAAAAAGTTCTCAAGTTGTTGACCAATAAACTAGTTCTGAACACTTGTCTCTAACATTGTGAATCAGTTATCAAATAAGTACAGTATTGGAAGGAAAGTGCTTGCTTCTGTGCTAAATCCAATATTATTCTCATTGAGTTCTAGTTACTTAAACATCTGCAACAACGGCACTTCAAGTATTTTTTCGAAGTAAAATGGTATAAAATTCCTTTGTAATACTTAATTCGTTTCTTGAATTCAATATGTTTTTTCCAGGCAGTTCATCGGGAGAAGCGAACACTGGTGGCGGTTAAAGTTATGAAAATTGACCTAAAAGATGACATAAGATCAATCTGTCAGGAAATACACACTTTGAGGGAATGCAGACATCCGAATATTGTACAGTTCTATGGCAGTTATCTCAGGTAACTAATCCACTCATGATAAAGATTCAAAATGTTGTCCTTTTTAGGAATAATAAGTTATGGATATGCATGGAGTATTGCGGTGGACAATCTATGCAAGATATTTATTTATGTATGCAAAATCCCTTCTGATAAACAATCGATTCATGTTGTTTTTAGACACCAGGCGTCCGTTAGAAGAAGACTGTATCGCATTTGTTTCCAGAGAAACTTTGCAAGGCTTAAACTTCATGCATAATCGTGGACGTATCCACAGGGACATTAAAGTTTGTACATGATTTTGCTGTTTTCCTAACTCTGGTATTTTCTTAGGGTGCCAATATTCTCCTAACCGATGATGGCCATGTTAAAGTGGGTAAGTTTATTCTCTTTCCTGATTTTTATCATGTTCACGTTTTGCAAATTAGCTGACTTCGGAGTAGCCGCCCAACTCAGTACCTCAATCGCTAAAAGAACAACCTTAATTGGAACACCCTATTGGTGAGTTGTATACTGTGGATTCAAATATGTAGGGTAGTAGATAGTCCTATTCTCTTCATGTTAATTTGATACCTTAGTATTGTTCAATTCTAATAATGCTGTGATAACGCTGTCGATTGCCTCACACCATTTAGAATCCTTTCGTCTTAATCTTGGTAAGAAAAATCAGATAATTCTGATAGTATTGGTGCATCTGTAGCGTTTGTTGGCTTCAATACACAACGTTTAATCTGTACCGTGTGTGTCTGAACTATTTCAGAAACTAACTGCTTTCATTGTTTGTCTTACATGGAAATTTACTCATGTATTTGTATGTATAAACAAAGCTTACCATGATATTTAATGCATGGGAGAGCATAGTTTCATGGCATAATGTTACGTGGAAAACTAATGAGATTCTAGTGTTCCACCCATTGTGGATCAAAGTGAACTGAACAGCTATGCATTATCTTTTGATGTAGCTTAGTAGCTTAATATTTCATATCCAACTACTCTGAAAAAGGAATATCACGAAGTAGAGACTCAAGTATGGGATATATCGGTAATCAGATACACTTATAGATGAATATCCAACTCAGTGTTTGTTCATATTCATCTTAATTATGACCACTTAGATTGGACATCATGGTATTTGATTGAACTTCGGTGTTCGTGACATTTGCATAACACGGCTGCACAGACCTCCGCAAGTAGAGATACAGTCCAAAATTGGAACCCAATACACAATGGTGAAAAGTCGCTTACTTACCATTTTTAACGCATAGTTTTTACTGTTTTCGTGAACAAAATATTCCACTTGTATTCACTCTTTGAGACAATACTAATAGAAACACGGAAAAACTCGAAGTCTATAGAGTTTAAATTTATTCTATCAATTTCTAAATAAAATACTTGATATTACAACACTTTTATTTGATAAATGCTAAATAAGTACAGCAAAAAAAATTGGTAACTTGCATACTATAACTGAATTAGAACATGTTGCCAAATCGTTCACTCACTATATTAACTATAATGTTAATGAATAACTTGGCACGAAGTCATTGTGTCAGACAATAAAATACTATTGATAGTTATGTTCTAAATATTGTTGTTCACCTTCATTATTTTTTTGTTTTTCGTAGGATGGCTCCCGAGGTGGCTTCAATTGAGTCACGTGGGTCTGGTTATGATGGGAGATGTGATATTTGGGGTGTTGGTATTACTGCCATTGAATATGCTGAACTACAACCTCCCATGTTTGATCTTGATCCAAGAAAGTGAGCATTTTCACAATGTTTGTACCCCGAAGTATTATGATTTATTCTTAAATTTTGCCTGCCTAAAATATATTTCCTCCTATTTCGTTTTCTTTTCCAGGGCATTGCAAATTCTTGGATCACGAAATTATAAACCTCCTTCTTTACAAGATCGCCATAAATGGTTCGTTTCAGTGTTATTTTGTTGATCAACTTTCTTCAGAATATTTTTGTCCGATGTATTAAACTCATCATTAGGAAATGTTAAACACGCTAGGTTTGATTTTTTGTGTTTCTGTACTTGCTTTCTGTTGAAAACATCCAAAGTGGAAATAGCAGTTTTAAGTTGAACGTTTATCCAGGTATCTAATACATCTTTTAGTTTATATAAATTAAAATTAAAACTCCATGTAATAAATATTCTAATTCTGCTATTTCTTTCACTCGACTTAAAATGCCATGCTGTCATTAGATGTTTTGTAGACCCATTTAAAACTCGAAGACAGAAAGCGAATTCATTCTGAGTGTTCATATTAAAAATAAATAGTAATTATCAGGTTGTTACTTAAGTAGTTGGAAATTTATGGATAACTAAGTCAGTTGACTTCTTCTATAACTTTTTCTTTTTGGAATTTAACCATATACTGGCATATTTTTAGTCCAGTTGTGTGCATCAGTGATGTGTAGTTTCACCATTTGTTTTCTGTGTTTTTTTGGCCAATTTTCACTCCAAAGGACTGCTAATTGGTGGTTTATATTTGACACTAGTTGGTAGAATCTGTTGGCGGAGACATTCATGAAGAAAAAAAATAGTTGTTCTTCTGTAGAGACTTGCCTTTTGGCAAAGTCTTGTCATTTGCAACAAAACAGAAACGTATCACGCTTGTAAAGTTTTTTAAAATAATGGAGATTTCTAGCTCAGGTGGATGATATTGAATTAGTTATGTTCTCTGAGCTGGTTAGTAGTATACAAAACCTGCGCTGAAGATTTTTTCCACAAGGACAACGAGACCTTCGCAATTAAATCAACCAGCTCAGAGAACACAACTAACTTAATGACTCCTTATTTATTGATCGTTTTCAGACAGTACTGTAATCCAATTTTAAATGAAAATCTAAATTTATAAAATTGTAGAAGTATTTTGTTTCGTACTTTGTGGGCCGAATTGTGATCTCTTACTCATTAGATTATCTTACACGACCATGACAATACTTCGTCCTCACTGCTGAGGCATGCGCTTATAAAGTTGGTACATGAAATATTTAGTTTTGTTTTCAAGATTCATGTCTAGTCGGGCATTTTTTACCGTTATTAATTTTTGTAAGAATCAATCTTATCTTTCAAGTCAACATACAGTGCTTTCTGGATAAAAAAAAACATGTTTATAATTTACTATGAATTTTTATCATAAAACATTTTCACAAAACACTGCTTCATTTTCAACAGTGAGGAAGAAATCCAAAAAAATCAAACCCAAATTTATCCATCATTGATTGATTATGTAATATCCTTTTTCAAGGTTATGGTTAACAGATGTTTTTGTTGGATGTTAAGTCTGTTAATCGCAGTCATATACTAGAGATTTTAGTAGTGTGTTAAATGGTAGATTGCTTTTAGTGTTAAAAAATAGGCAGGAGTATTTTCCACAAATGATAAGAGAGCATTCCTAAAACGTGTATGTTTCTCCTTATTGAAGGAGATTGACTGAATAGTTTTTCCTCTGAGAAAAAAATCTAACACTAGCAACAATAACTAATGAAGTTAGATATGTAAGTTTACAAACCAATACTGAAATCAACACGCTCTAAAATCGCCTTAAATATCCAAAATTCGTTCTGACTTAAAGTCTCTCAACTTCCATAGTCTAAGTGTAGTATTTAAGCCTAATCTCTTCTAATGTTAGGATACCTAGTTCAAAGTGACTCGGCTAGGTAAATGATTAAGTTGTTTGTAATGTTAATTAACTTGCTGTCCTTATCCACGGTTGTATACTGCTCTTTATTTATATTTTGATTGAACTTTCATCTTTCCAGTAATAACTCAATGCTTGTACTCAGTTTCTTAATAAATGCTGTCATTATACTTAAAAGCATTTTATGATTGTGTCGATTGTTCATTAGTAAGGTATTCGTCAACCACTCACGTCGTTTGGGTTCGATTCCTGGATAATGCACACTTAAACCTCGCTTAGTCTGTGGTGTGTCCGGTAATAAGGGAAAGATGGTTTTCAGACCAGAGTCACCACTGCTAACTAAACTTCAGAGCCCAGACTTGAAAACCATGCATTATTCAAAACACAAAGGAATCATGCCCTGGTAACTGGATAATTTCACCTCTCTTTCCTCCGAATGTGAAATGCTAAAAGTTTCCATTGTGTTTGATTATTATTGTTCGGAATAGTGGTTAATATTGCATATTTATATATGTATATATTTTTAGTGTATGAGTATATTGATCGATTGATTTTTGTTTAAACTTAACTCTGTGCAAGTATGTTAAAATTGTTGTTGTAGATATATTTAATAATGTCTTTGCCATGTAAGCAGCTGACGAGAAGGCAACGAAATAAAAGATGGTACCATTTTATTCTGCTAAAACTGTAGTTCTTGCATTGTTCAAATTCATTAAGGGGAATAAATGTATGAAATTTCAGTTTTGTCTCAAGAGTTCGACTACTAAATATTGCTAAGGCTGTTGGGATCCACATTAGGAAGCCTAATTTGTGCATCCAAAAGTAGTTAGCTCAGACATTTTCCTTACCTTGGTCATCCAGGTCCGAATGATCCCCAATTTCTGCAGAAATTTCCTTAATTTTAGTTGATATTCTATTCGCTATATCTTTATTATTATTATTATTTAAGCATCTTTAATGAACTGTAATTCCATTGATCTTACTTAACAAATCGATATTATTTAAAAAACACTAGTATTGTTATTGACTACTAATCTAGAATATTCTATGTACATGAACATATATATATATATATATATAATTGTAGAGCCAGAAGAGAAATTTATCGAAAGGGATATTCTTCGCTCAATCATTTTGAGTTTTCAATACATTGTTTTGGTTGTTGGGTGAACATTGTTATATCAGACTCAGTTTTATATTGAACTGACAACCAGGCTATACCTCTTAAGGCTAGTGTTCTCGTATTCATGAATATGACGACCATAGAATTATTTGGCTGTACTCATTTACAACAGTTGTTATAATCACAAGACCACGATTTCTCTGTTGATTTTGTCTGATGTTGATGTTAATCTGTTTGTCTGTCTGTCTGTTTTCGACATAGAACTTTGCACAAATGTGCGGAAGTTCAAGTCGCCACATTCCGTGTAGCACGCGAAGCAAGAGAAGAAAGTACAAGAAAAGCATAATAGAAACAGTGAGCAGAGGTGTGAGACAAAGGAGTAATAAAGAAATACAAAACAGTTTCATTGAAGATCATAAGTCACAGGGAGTGGATGCATCTGCGCCACTGAGAACGATTTTGAGCCATGTCACCAATTGTTTCCAACCATAGATTTTTACCGTCCCGAGGACCCCAGCCTGGAAGTCTACACCTTTCTACGTGGCTTAGACCAACTGTTGTGGATTTCATTGACTGATGCCAAGTTTTTGTTTGACCGCCGCTAGCTTTTTTCCAGCCTGACCCTATATCCGCTAACATAGCTCGTCGAGGGAGGCGATGGCTTGGCATACGTAACACATGTCCTAACCATCTCAGTCTTTGTAGCTTCACGACTTCGTCGATTGATTTCCCCTGTTTACCTAGAACTCTACGCCTAACCTCCATGTTGCTCACCTTATTATGCCACTTTACACGGGAAATAGAACGCAGGCACCTATGATCAAAGACAGCTAGTCTTTTCATGTCTTCCACTCTCAGTGGCCAGGTCTCACAACCATAAAGGAGGACGGAGCGGACTGATGAGCAGTACACCCGCCCTTTGGTCGATAGTCGAACATCTCGTCTACGCCAGAGTCGGCGTAAACTAACAAATGCGAAACGAGCCCCTTGTATTCGTGCTGAGATTTCGTCAGAGATCAGCCCGTTGGGGCTGATGGTACTTCCCAAATAAGTGAAGCGGTCAACGTGCTCTACCACTTCACTTCCTATTTTTAAACTAGGCGTCGATGTAGTCCAGTCCTGTAACATCATCTTGCATTTGGCGGGAGCGAATCGCATGCCAAACATTCGTAGATTGCGGCTCAAGGTGTTTAGAAGACTCTGCATTTCGTCAGCGTCTTCGCCTAGAAGGACTATATCGTCTGCATATTCCAAGTCAACGAGATTATTCCCGGTAGCAAGTCAATCCCTGAGTCGCTGAAGTCACCTAGGGTTAAGTCCATTAACACATCTATGATGAAGTTGAATAGAAAAGGAGATAATGGGCATCCTTGACGGACACCACTGGTCGTCATCAGTTCAGATGACAGCTCGCCGTAAGCCCTCACCTGGCTGTATGAGTACGAGTAGAGTGCCTTAATCAGTGCAATATATTTTCTTGGAATTCCCTTTACAGCCAAGCATCTCCAGAGAACTTCCCGATCGACAGAGTCGAATGCTGCCTTTAGGTCAAGAAATATAATGACTGTTGGACGCCGGTAGGAATGCCTATGTTCTAGAATCTGTCGGAGGGTGAAGATATGATCAATACACCCTCTTCCTGGTCTAAAGCCTGCCTGGCTCTCTCGTGTTTGTGCTTCCCGAGCACCACTCAGTCTACGCATGATTATTGAGCCTAAGACTTTAGATACTATATTAGTCAAGCTAATCCCTCTGTGATTATCACAGGAAGACTTGTCTCCCTTCTTGTATATGGGGATAATCAGTGACTTACACCAACCCGATGGGACTTCTTCTGATTCCCAGACGCTGCCTAGTACCTCAGTTAATCCGGACAGTAAGCTGTCTCCACCGTACTTAAATACCTCTGGAGTCATTCCATCAGGTCCCGCTGCTTTGCCTAGTTTCAGATTGGTGACAGCTTTAGTAACCTCAGTTAGTGACGGAGGACCTGTGTCTATATCCCATTCAGGGAGGTGTTGGATGCTCGGAAGGTTGAGCGTGGCTGTGGGCAAATTAAACTGCTCCTCATAATGCTCTTTCCAACGATCCAGTCGTCTATCCTGGAGCTAATTATAGTGCCATTTTTTTCCGAGATTGTCTCACTAA